TTCCTGCGGGGATTGGGGTGGGATCGAGAAACCCCGCGTTTCTCTGCCCTCCTTCCCTGCTTCCCTCTTGTCTGGGGAAGCTGCAGCCTGCAAAGTTACTGCAGAAGGGAATTAAATCCCTTGCTGTGCAAGCTCCGCTGTGAGCGTAAGGCAGGGCAGCCGGGAGGGCGGGGGCAAAGGGCGTTTGATGTTACCCAAATTTTCAGCTGGGTACGAATGAGAGCACTAGTGCCAGAGAACACAGGGGGTGCGTACAAGCTGAGTGCAGGCGTGGTGTGTGTGGAGCTCCCGGGGTGCAGCTTCCTGTAGCTCGGTGTCCTCTGTGCTTCCCATGTCAGGATTACTATGGCAGAGAGCTGCAGAAGTCAGAGGACCTGAAAACCAATGCTTGTGTCACCTCGGCGAGACCCCTTTCCAAGGCGGTGAGAGATGCTCTGGAGCGTGTCCACGAGGAGGTGGTGGCCAGGTAAGCCCCGAGGTCTCCCTTCTGCTGCTGCCCCCCTGTGGGCTGCAGCCCCCTAGACCCCCTGCACCATGAAGGCATCTCTGCTTGGCTCAGCTCAGCATCCCCCCAGGTACTACGGCTGCGGTCTGGTGATCCCGGAGTGCCTGGTGGGATGCAAGGTCCTGGACCTGGGCAGCGGCAGCGGCAGAGACTGCTACCTGCTGAGCCAGCTGGTCGGGGAGCAGGGCCATGTCACTGGGATAGATATGACCCAGAGCCAGGTACGCTGTGGAGCCAGGGCTTCCCCTCATCCCCCCAGCACCTCACCGCTGTCGTTCCTTTCCTCTCCCAGGTTGAGCTGGCAAAGAAGCACATTGCCTACCACATGAACAAGTTTGGCTACCAGAAGCCGAACGTGGAGTTCCTCCAAGGATACATGGAGAAGCTGGGTGATGCTGGGCTGGCTGATGAGAGCTATGATATTGTCATGTAGGTACCATACTGGGCATTGCCACCCCTGCTCCTGCTGCTGCCTAGGACCATGGACTGAGGTCTGTGTCCAGATCCCACTTGGTTTCTTGCTTCAGGAGTACACATTAGAAAAGGGAAAATCCCAAGGCAGAGTCTGGGCTAGAGCCTGGGAATGTAGAAACTACCCTTTAAATGTCAAATCCGCTTCTACAAATCCTGCATGAAGCGATGGGATGTGCAGCAGCTGGTGGTGCTGAGTGTGTGAGAGGGTGCAAATGAGCTTTGTTTTCCTCCTCCCCAGCTCCAACTGCGTGATCAACCTCGTCCCCAACAAGAGGGCAGTACTGCAGGAGGCCTACCGTGTGCTGAAGGTCATGGCAGGGCCAGTGCCCATGGCGGGAACAGGGTTGGGTGGCCCTGCTCTTGGGGTGCCACTGGGATACAGCAAATGGGATCCAGAAGGGTGGGGATGTGGGATGAGGCATGGAGAGGGCAGCTCTGCAGTGGGTCCCATGCAGGGTAGCACTGGGGGATGCCCAGTTCTCTCTGCCCTTTTTGTCCTATTGCTCCTCGGGGTCTCTCTTCACTCTTTGCTGCCTTCCAGCCCGGAGGAGAGATGTACTTCAGCGATGTCTACGCCAGCCAGCGCCTGAGCGAGGCTGTCCGGAAGCACAGGGTGCTATGGGGTGTGTAGGGCTCCAGGATGGGGCTGGGGTGGGATGAGGGGAAGGGAACTCTGCCTCCATCACCCATGTCTGTGATCTCGTGCCAGGGGAGTGCCTGGCAGGAGCCCTGTACTGGAGAGACCTGTACAGCATTGCCAAAGAGGTGGGGTTCAGCCCCCCATGCCTGGTCACCGCCAGCCCCATCACCATCAACAACGAAGAGCTGGAGGGTATCATTGGTGAGGGTCTGACCAGGGCGTTTTGGCTCCAGGGGGCTGTGGGTAGCTGTGCTGGGATCCCAAGCTCAGCTACTTGGTACCCAACTCACCAGTCTGTCCCTTGCAAAGGTGACTGTCGCTTTGTCTCCGCAACTTTCCGCCTGTTCAAGGTGCCAAGGAGCGGCCGAGCTGGGCCGGGACAGGTCATCTACAACGGTGGGATCACGGGGCATGAGCGAGAGCTGGTGTTTGATGCCAACCACACCTTCAAGGTGTGGGGTGAGGCTTCCCCTGGGGGGTGTGCTGGGGTGGGGGTCAAAGCTGGTGAAGCAGTGCTGCTCAGCAGTGTTGTACGTGATTTTTGGGGGTAAGCTTTATTAGAGGGGTTGTATAAACCAGAGGAGGTGGAAATAGGATAGGAAAGAGAACCAGATCAAGCCTTGCATTGGGATGGAGGTGTGAGAAGGATATCTGTGGTATCTTCACAAGGGGTTTTGGAGCCAGCTGCTTGGTGGTTTTGAGTTTCTCGAGGTTTTGAGTCAGGCTATGCCTCTGCTTTTGCCCCCACCATCTGACTGGGTGGCTGGGGTCCCCTTGGGCCATGTATCCCAGACCCCAGCCCTGTGACTGTCCCACTGTCCCCAGGAAGGAGAGGTGATGGATGTGGATGCTGAGATGGCTGCAATTTTGCGGAGCTCCAGGTTTGCAGAGGAGTTCCTGATCCGAGCCAGTGGGGCCAATGCTGCTACACCACAGGGCTGCTGTCACCAGGGGGTGAAGGTTGGTAGCAGGCAGCTTCATGGCTGCGTTCAGGGATGGGGACATGAATGTCTTGTGCCTGAGGTATCAGGGGTTATGGCAGCACACCAGGAGATCTCAGTCCTTCTGGGCCAAGCAGGAGCCTGTGGGGCACCAATGGTGGTGCCTAGTGCCTGAGTTAAGGCAACTGCACCCCAGCAGTGGGTGGACCTCCCCAAAGCAGGGGGATCTGCTCTAACCACCAGGCATGAGAGCCCCTTGCCTCCCTAACATGTCCGTGTGGGCTGCCAAGGTTGATGGCAGGATCTGCTTGATGTCTCCTAAGAGGAGACATCCTCCAGGAGGTGGCTGGAGAGAGTTGGCTTCAGGGAGGTGATGGCCCTTCCCTGCAGCTCCTTCTTGCTCGTTGCTCTCCCAGCACCTCCCAGCTGCTGTTGTGAGCTTGGCCCTGGCTGCCAGCCCTGACCTTACAGCACAAAGCACCTCTATCTGCTGGAAACCTTTCTTCTCCCCTCAGTGGTCCTTCCAGCCTGCAGATGGGCTGGGAGAGGCTGGGAAATAGGGATCATCAGTACACGAGGGAGATAACATCCTGCAGCTGCGTGTCCCTGAAACACAACCTTGTACTTGGGGAGGGGGAGATGTTCTTGTGTTACAGTCCAAGCAGGAGGCATTTTTCAGATTTCTCAGAGCCAAAGTCCCAGAGAAGTTCTTGATGTCCTCCTCACAGGAGGGAAAAGCAGCTGGAGTGATGTGGGGGCTGTCCCCATGTTAGAGCAGGAGGGAGATGTTGCTTTCCTGCTGTGCCTCTTGTATCTCTCTGGTCTGATCCTGCCCTGGGTTGTTCTCTGCCATTCAGGAGAAGATCTGTGATCCCTTCCAGCTGCTGGAGAGGCTGGCAGCCCCAGAGCCCACCTGCTGTCCCGGTGGCACCTGCAGTTCCCCAGGGTGCTGCTGACCGATGAACGAGGCCCCTGTGCTGGCAAATTCCACTGGGGCAGGAGAATGTGCTCCCAGCAGCATGTGGCTTCAACTGGAGAGCAAATAAATGTCTGAGCTGGAAGGCTGTGTGCTTGTGGTTGGGACCTCAGGGCCCGTGGGGTGCTGTGCTTTCCTGTCAGGGCTGATGGGGCAGGTTGTGCTGTCCTGTGGGTCCCCCTGCTATGAGGCTGACAGTGGCTGCACAGCTTGGACACGCAGGCAGGGATGGTCTCTGTGGGAAAAGGGCTGTGGGTTCCTGTGTGTGTGACAGAAGGTCTGGTGTGGGTTTGGCAGCAGCTGCAAGCTGGTGCTGAGTCCACAGAGCAGAGCAGAGATGTTTGCAGAAGGCAGCTTGGCAGAGCAAGGTGCAAAAGGAGGCCCCAGCACTGTGCAGGACCTGACCCTGCAGCATGGACCCCTGTGCATGAGTCTGGCTCCATTTTGACGCCCCTCCTTCCATGATCCATAGGTTCTCTTTTTCTACTTGAGTTTGCCCAACAGTTCCTTGTTTAACCATGCAGATCTCCTGGCTCCCTTACTTGATTTCCTACCCACTAGGATGCTCTGATCCTGAGCTTGCAAGAAGTGGTTCTTGAATGTTGACCAACTATCTTGAGCCCCTTTACCATCTAGTACCCTGTCCCATGGGACTTCTCTTAATTGAAGAGGCCAAAGTTGGCCCTGCAGAAGTCCAGGGTTCTGGTCCTGCTAGGTGTTCTGTTCCTCCCACACAGGATCCTGCACTCCACCATCTCATGATCACTGCAGCCAAAGCTGCCATTGACCATCACTGCTTCAACCAGACCCTCCTTGTTGGTGAGCACAAGATCCAGCAATGCTCCTCTCCTAGTTGGTTTATACACCATTTGTATCAAGAAGTTGTTGATGCACTGGAGGAACCTCCTAGACTGTGAAAGGCTGGCTGTGTAGGCCTTCCAGCAAATATTGGGGTGGTTAAAATCCCCCATGAGGATCAAGGCCTGTAGTTGGGAGGCTGCTTCCAGCTGCCTGTAGAAAGCCTCATCAACTCCCTCATCCTGTTCAGGAGGTCTGTAATAGACCCCCACAACTGTATCACCCACACCAGCCTGCCCCTTAATTCGTACCCACAGACTTTCCACTTGCTCTTCATTGGCCCCTGGACAGAGCTCAATACATTCTGGTTGCTCCCTCACATAAAGAGCAACTCTACTGCCTCGCTTTGCTGACCTGTCTTTCCTAAAAAGGACACAGCCATCCATGGCCACATTTCAGTCATGTGAGCTGTCCCACCATGTCTCTGTAATTGCCACCACATCATAACCCTTAGACCGCAAAATACATACTGCAGTACAGCTTATGATGGAACCAGTATTTTACAAAGATTGTCTATAGAGCATAAAAATACCAAAACCACAACCAACAACAAAAATGCACAGCTACATATGTCTGTTCTGTAGTACACGTTGCTTGCTGTTGGGAGGTCTCTTACTTTGAATTCTAAACTGAAAAAAAAAATAAAAAAAAATCCACCTGGGTAAAACTGATGAAGGAGCTATGAAGTTCAAAAAATAAGTAGCCTAGTTGCTTTTATCCTTCTTCTTACCTCTCCATGCTAACCTTAGACATGCAGGGAGCTACGAACACCCACCAGGCAAAGCCTGTGCAAGCTCCTGGTGGTGGGCGAGCAGCTCAATAAAGCAGCTGCAAATGAGCATCTCCCTGGGGTGGTGGCCGAGAGGGTCTGGGCACCTCCTGAGGGTTCAGCTGGGCCTGCTTTTCCAGGAAGATCTCAACGCATCACATGGAGTGCAGAGGGATGTCCCCATTATTTGCATTCCAAATGCAGCTCTCCATGCCGTGTCTTACTTGCCGTCCCAGTCTGCTCCAGGCGATGGGAATTTCTCTCCTTTTCCTCGGGCCGGGCTGCTGATTTTCTACTTTCCCTGGACTCCATCTAGCGGGAAAGCCTGGAGTGCAAGAGGAGATATGCTTGGAGGTTTTCTATAAATGAGAGGGGTGACACACAGCAGGGAGAGCTCTCCTGGTACCCTGTGAAGGATGGTGCATTCAAAATCCTTCCGTATTCAAATACTGTACCCCATAAGACCATCAAACGCCTCTTGTCCACCTCTCTGCAACCTGGCCTGACACAGAAAGAGTCACACCATCAAGTGCAGGTCCTCCGTGGTCACCTCCAGGCACGTGGAGAAGAGTTAATTGCTGAAAATGAGCCAGTTGTCATCTGGTGAGGTTTGCTTTGCATGAACGGCTTAGGGTGCTCCTCAGTGATACCCACACCCAGCACAGTGCAGGGGCAGCCTGCTGAGCCTGGAGGTCACTGGTGACAGAATGGGAGAAAAGTTGGAATTTGGAATTGTTAAGAGAGATAGGGGTGTTTGAGGACTTGCTATGAAGAATCCCCAAAACACGTGGGTCTTCAACTCACACGAGTGGAGGGGGAAAAGCCACGCTGGCTCCAAGAAGATGGTGAAGAAACAGTACAAAGGAAAACCAATAAAATCCATTTATGGAGAATCGTGTCATGGTGAAGATAGAGGGCAATGAGAAAATATATGGGTTCAGAAAGAAGCAAGTGCCAAGGATGGTCTCAGTGGCTGGGGTGGGGGGGGAGGGAGCTCCAGGTGGTAAGGAGATATTTCCAGAACATCTGGAATGAAAAGTGTGAGTGGTCAGGTAACACCTGACTGCCACACAGAGATGGGAAATCCAGGAACAGGCATGAGAGGTGGAGACATTCAGTAGCTCTCCTTGTTTGCTGCTGGAAATGAAGCTGCAGAATCCCTCATTTTGGATAATGTAGCTACACATGGAAGTTTGCCTTGTGTCTCAAGAGAGATACAATATAGTTTCTATTCAGAGAAGAAGCTTTCAAATCCCTGGTACGTGTGGCTCCCAGCAAGGGCTGTGCCAGGACATCAGGTCTCTTGTGCTAACTCCTGACAAAACTTGGACCATTATAAAATATGAGGATTGTAATAATAATTCCAAGATTTAGAAAGGATTTCCTAAGTGCCCAGACTGCTTAACCTGCTTTCTTCCATCAGCAAAATAGGAGAGTGATTAATTAACAATTTAGGGATTAAACATATAAATAATGCCCATAAATGTGGCTTCCTGGAATGTTACCTTACCAGCCTGTCCTTTTGGCTTTGGATAAGAGACAAAAGTCTGACTATTTGGTGTAGAAAAATTTGCAAGTTGTTTGGTTTAGAGCTACAGCATGATTAAATATATATATATATATCCTTCATGTGACTTGCTGAAAACACAACCAAGATGCTGCTTAATCCCACCCCAGCCCCATCAACTATAGCTCTCTGTATTTGCTTACAAAGACTTTCTCAAAGTCCCCAAACAGCATGTCCTGAGTGGTTGGCAGCAATTAGCTCCTGTTATCAAAGAGAGCCTTCCCAGTATGAACGGAAGGGCAGACGGGGCAGGGGGTCCTACTTCCAAGCCCCTTCATTAAAAAGGCATGAGTCCCTGCTCCGGCTTTCAGCCCGCCTGGGGAGAGAGGCTCCCTCCCGCGTGCATGCGGAAAAAGGCCACATCGCCTCATTTCACGAGGCTGGAGGTGCCCGGGGCGGCTGAGCAGAAGGAGATGAGAGAGGGGAGCGCAGCTCGGCTGCGTTTAATATTTAGCGGTTCGTATTTCACGTTTCATGTTTAATCCCGCTCGCAGGGACAACAAAGCCGAGGAA